CACATCTTATTTCAAATTATTTAATTCTATAAATATTCAATCTTGTCATATTAATATGTGTATTTCAAAATTAGTGCAGTAATTTTTTTATTTTAATAAATATAATAATATAATTTAAATAATCAAATTAATAAATTTTATATGCTCCAAAAAAATAAAATTTTTCCTTTTCTATTTTTTCCCAAATTTAAAATAGATTTTACTTAACAACATAATATATTTGTAAAAATTAATTCATTTTGTAACAATATAATTTTTCATTGCAATAATATTTTTTATTTTAAATTAGTTTTTATTATAATATATTTTAATTATAACAATATTTATTTTATATTTTTCTTATGATAATATATATTTTTTAAAATAAATACTATAATAATATATTTTATAGGTATTAATAAAATATCACAAAAGCATGAGAGGAAAACAGTATAATATTTTGGCTTCCTTTCAAAAAATCTTAATTTGGGAGAAGGCAAAATCAGGGAGGGAGGGAGGGGATCCCTTCCTCTCCAAAATTTCTAACCGAATGAGGAGAAGGGCTCATTTGCCCTCCCCTCTCCTCTCCTCCCCTTCCTTTCAACTAAACACACCTAATAGTGCATTAGTGAGTTTCTTACTGCCAGATTCTACTATAATGTTTTTGAGTCCATTAAGCATTGCCCATTCTTCTGCTTCATGGGCACTATAATTCTCAAGATAATTTGAGAATCCAGCAATCCAATTACCTCGATAATCTCTAAAAACACCACCACAAGCAATAGACTCTGAAATTTCAGATTTAGCCCCATGGACATTTAATTTTGCAGTATTTGGAGGAGGTGGAATCCACTGCTTGAGATAGCAGCACTAACATCACACTGTAAATGATCTTTCCTCATAATGAATTTGTGACGGGTATTTAAAATCGTAATGGCGCGTTCAAGAGGTTTCTGAAAATTATCTTGATAAATGAATTCATTTCGCCAATTGCAACTCCCCAGGTGAGACTCCCTTCAGTGTTCCCGTTAGAAGCAAAATCCTGTTTCAGATTCATAGAAACCCACTCAACAAGAGAGGCCGAAAAGAAGAGCTGAGTAGCAGAAGGCTTTATAATTCTCAACCATTGCTGTCTTGCATAAGCACAACCACACTGGACACTTGGAGGAATAATAGGCAGAAGAATATTTAATTTGTTGTTCCACTTTCGATTGGGCTGATCCTTTTTGTCCCAAACAAATGCCATTAATCTGCACTGTCATTGAGAACGAAGAAATTTAATTTGCCAATGAGGCTACGCTTTTTGGAATTCAGATTGGCTCCGCCTAACGCGCAACTTTCAACTATTCCTTTTTAGAATAACTATAGAGGGAAATGACCAAAAAAAATAACAAATAAACTTCATGATGCCAAAAACATATTCTGAATTTGGGAAATTCCAATTTCGTCACAAAAGACTAATTTGACATTTATAAGTTTGCTGAAATGACCATATTACCTTCTATTTTATTTATTGTTTTTAAAATACTAAAGTCCCCACTGGCCGGCTGCTCACTGGAGCTCCAGTGACCAGTCGACAATTGGTTCCCAGAGCTCTCCGGTGATCGGCCAACAATTAGTCGCTAGAGCTCCGGCAGTTGGAAATAATTTTTTAAAATTTTTTTACAACTTTAGTGTAACAGTTAACAACTTTTGTAACACTATTAACAACTTCAGTATAACAGTTAACAACAGGTTTTCTGGGAAATTCAATAAGCTCCGCGGCTGAAAAAATTTTTTTGAAAATTTTTACAACTTTAGTATAATGGTTAACAACTTTTGTAACGCTATTAACAATTTCAGTATAGCAGTTAACAACAAGTTTTTCAAAAAATTCAATAATTGGTCGTCGGAGCTTCGGCAGCGAGAAACAATGTTTTAAAATTTTTTTACAACTTCAGTATAACAGTTAACAACTTTTGTAATGTTATTAACAACTTCAATAGAGTACTTAACAACAAGTTTTCCGAAAAATTTAAAAAGTAGCATTTTTACAATTTCTAAGAAAACATGCCTTTTTTATTTTTAAGAAAACATGTTGTTAAACGCTATATCGAAGTTGTTAATAAAGTTACAGAACTTGTTAACGGCATTACTGAAGTTGCAAAAATGGTACTTTTTGAATTTCTCGAAAAACTTATTGTTAATAGCGTTACAAAAGTTATTAATCATTATACTGAAGTTGTGAAAATTTTCAAACAAATTGTTTCCAACTGCCGGAACTCTGACGACCAATTGTTGAATTTTCTGAAAAACCTATTGTTAACTGCTATATTGAAGTTGTTAATAGCATTACGAAATTTGTTAACCGTTATACTGAAATTATAAAAATTTTCAAAAAAATTGTTTCCGGTCACCAGAGCTTGTTGAATTTCCTAGAAAACCTGTTGTTAACTGCTATATTGAAATTATTAATACTGTTACAAAAGTTGTTAGCCGTTATACTGAAGTTGTAAAATTTTTTTAAAAAAATTGTTTTCGACTACCGTAGCTCCGGCGACCAATTGTTGGCCAATCGCCGGAGCTCCAGTGACTGCTACCACTAGAGCTCTGACGACTAGCCGGTCAATGGGAGCTTTGGAATTTTAAAAACAATAAATAAAATGAAGGACTATATGGTCATTTCAGCAAACTTATAAATGCCAAATTAGTCTCTTATGACTAAATTGAGATTTCTCAAATTCAGGAGATGTTTTTGGCATTATGAAATTCATTTGTCATTTTTCTGTCATATTCCCTAATTATAGTTTAATATTAAAATTAAAATTATATAAAAATTATTAAATAGTTTAGATTATTAAAAGTTTTCAGATTACGTCTAGTTAAAATATTATCATATTAAATATTTAATTATCTTCTTGGTGTTCTCCATCTCCCCTTTAAATCAAGAGTTGTTATGAAGAGAATTTGTACAAAAATAATTAACTCTTTAATTTAGTTTTAAAGAGAAATTTATTTTTTTAAAATTCCAAAACAATAATTATTTTGCAACATAAAAATATTTCAATTCAATTTCAATTATGTGCGTGTTATCATTTTTTAATTTTATACATAATATGAAAATAAAAATATTTCAAATTTCTTTTTAGCATGCTCGAAAGTTAACAAAATAAATATGGATTTCAATTAATCTTATATAAAAATAATCATTTGTGTCCCTTTACAGTGCACAACCTCAAGCATCTCAACTGCAGCCACATACACACACCGCTACGTCGTCAATTTGCACCATAGATGGACAATATGCACAATTCAATTAAGTTGACCATGTAGATAATCCATACTTAATTCACTACCATTGTACACTTTATTTTCGTCTTTAAATATACACTATGTGTAGCGTATTCGAATGATAATTAGATTGTATAAATTTATCTGGGCTAATTACTTGGATATGAGAAGAGGACTTGCTGATTTTGCTAAGAGGACTTGTTAAAGAGCCGTAAACCACCGTTATATAATATAATTATTGATTCAATCACAAGCCATCACACTTTTTCAAAACAAAACAACAAGGCAAAAGTCTGAAAAAGAGTCAAGAAATTGAAGGACGTTGCTCTCCGGCTTCTATTTAGCCAACGGTTATGTTTCTGCTTTCCGTCTTTGTTTCATCATCTTCTTTAATATTGTTCGATAAAAATTCCTTCAGGCCAATTGTCAAAGCTGATGTTGAAACCATGGAAGCTTTAAGGATGCTCACAACCTGCATTTTTATGCATGCATGAGTCTGATACAGAAGGCAAAAAAAGATTGCAGCAAGCTTACAAATAAGTCTGATCATATTCACAGCAAAAGGAAAGAAAATAACAAAAGAAAACCCCAAACCATTAAACTTCTTGTTTTTTCGACCTAAACAAAATTTGCATCTCCTGTTATTTGTCTGTCTAAAGGTTAGAAGATACGTACCTCTTGTGCCCCAATGCAGATTGTTTTTTGCTCCAAGTCATGGTAAGGCACCTTGAATTCAGTTAGTAAAGATGATAAAACATCGTGAGATGATAAAGGTTTCACAGACAAGTCATCGGCAACCATGAATGTGGTTCCACCCTTAGCATATCCATTGCCTGATTTTTCTTCCGTTGTTGTAGACTTAGGATCGCGCATTCTTACTTCTCCCTTATAATAATATTCACTATACAGATTTGCATCGGCAGTCAAACAATGTGAATCTTTCGTCCGCCAATAAATTAACTTTGACGGATACATCAGTTCATCAATAGGTAACATCTGGTTACTCGCCTTAAAATATGGGGCTACCTTCAGGCTAGCGAACATGTTGTTCATCTTCTCCGACTTCAAGTGCCTGGTCGAATCAAAGTTGCTCAAACTGTTGTATAAATTATCGACACACACCAACCCAGAGTTTCCTTCTAAAACTCTCTCCATAGCTCCCAGTGGGAATGTCAAGAAACTAAGAAGCTGGTCCATGAAATCTTCCTCAACCTGAGCAAACAATATCTTGGACTTCGATTTTGACATCAATACATTCATCTTCATCGTCCCAGTGCTCTCTCTGCCTTGTCTCTCATCAGTTATCTTGGACGAGGTTTCGGAATGCACGAGGTCGTGCTTCTTCCTTAACAATGAATCTGTGAGTGCCATCTTGGAGATCAACAAGCACTTGAGTAGGTCCAAAATCTTCGAAAACATAATAAATTAAAGCATCAGGTGATGTGATATAAAGAAAATAAGATATATTTAATGTTTGTAGAACTCAACCTCATTTGAACTGAGAACCATAGTGGATTCCTCCGGTGTACTTTCAGAGTGTAGATTCTTTAGCAGACACAATGTTGTATTGAAATGAGCAGGAGTTACAGATAGATCGTCAGAAATAATAAAAGATGCGGTCTCCTTTACATAGCCTTCCCATGTATTATCTGCATTTTGGAGTAGGTATGAAAGAAGTAATATAATAATCGAATCAAATACGGTTTTTTAATAAGGATAACAAAAAATATAAAATGCATTGCAATTATTACCTCCAGCATCACCACTCGCGTTTTTATCGGATCCACTTAACAGAGGACTGCATAAGAGCCATTTGCAAGGGTTCAGAAGGAACGTAAAATTCCGCCCACATTTGCATTTCATATTCTTGAAAGTGGTCACCAGAGAAGGTCCTTGAAAAAGACAATCTATACAAGCATAATACTTGGTTGGCTCAGTGTCATCAATGTTAAGTTTGAGGTTTTGATTATAACGTTCCATGGAGTTCCTTGGCTGAAGCAGCATTTGCTTGCATGTCTCTGAATTCAAATACTTGGGGTCCAGATTTCCCACGCTTTCATACAGCGAGCTTATGCATCCAAATCGGCAAGGCTTCGTGTTTGAATCCCTACTTACGAGTCTAGCAATAGTTCCCAGTGGCAATGTCAAGAAGCTTAAAAGAATATCCACAAAATCCTTCCCTGCTTCCGCATAGAGCACTCTGTTTTGCTCTTTGTCCACAACAACTCTCAATGAAATTTGTTCCGGTATAGCAGTTGAAGCCATGGGAGCAATATTATTAACCCACCAAATGCAGCAAATGTTTCAGAAACTGTAACGACAACGTAACCTATTTGAATTTGAATTTGATAAAATACACACACACATAAAAGCATGCAAGAAGATATATAGTACCTGTATTGGAGTGTGGCTCTCGTTATGGAGGTTATGGTTATGAACAAGGGCTCTTGAATTATTGGAAACTGATGATATGACCAAGGCTTTGTGACTCCTTCTTTAACTTTCAATTAGGCTTGCTCGTTAAGTAAATGCCTTCACTCTTTTGGAAGTAAAAAAGTTCTTGCCTTCATTGCTAAGTTAAGATTTTTTGTTAAATGCCTTTTTCTGCCTATCTTCGCCTGTTTAGCTCTTCTCCAGAATTTTTAGCGGCTGCAATCAAGTAAAGTATACACTTATAATAATCGATGAAAATTAAAATTACCTAAAACATGAAATAAATTATGATACTATGATACCTATAATATAAATCTTTTCGTCACATATTTATATTTAATTTTTAAAATATAAATCATTTTTTAAGTTGTGCTCGCCAATATTACAAGAGTTAAAAATCACCCATCGTCATATTTGTTTAGAATTTTATTAATATAACCATAATTATATTAGTGAGAAAATCATCTTACATTTTTGTTTTTAAAAGGGGTTAATATAATTTTTAGTCCTTCAAATTTGCCTTCATTTTGATTTTAGTCCATCAAGTTTTAAATCATAAATTTTAATCTCTCAAATTTCTTTTTTTAAAATAGCAGTCCCTATAATTTAATGAAAACTTAGACCATTCTGTCCTTGTAAGACCAAAACTTATAGTTTGAAATTTGACGAACCAAAATCAAAATAAGGGTAAATTTGATAACACTAAAGATTATATTAACCATGTTAAAAATTAGACCCGAAATTCAAAAGAAAACCTCACTAGCACATATCCTATACCTTTTTTCCGCCACAACACATATCCTATAGCTATCAACGCAGCATATAGTAATATATGAACCCCATTGGACGGTATGTATTTTTTCGGCCAAAACATTGGACCGTGCATATTGAATAATGAATTTTTTTCATATATTGTACTACTACCTCCGGTCCTTATTATAAGATCCCGTTTGACTTTTTGTTTGGTCCTAATTATAAGACCCCAATCCATTTTGTCTCTCATATTTATATTTTTTTTCTTCAAAATAATCCTTCTAATAATGATAGTTCTAGCCAATATACTTAATTAGCAAAGATATTTTAGGAATGACAACATTTATTTATTACAAATAACTAACTTAACTTACTTCCTTAATCTCCTCAAATAAGTCAACTGGGTCTTATAATTAGGACCGGAGGTAGTACTTTCTTTTTTCTGTCAGAAATATATTATACTACATCTTATAAAGTAAATAATAATGGGATAAAATGTTTAAATACTTTGAAAGTATCTACGAAAAAACATTCAGCATGTGGATTTTTTGTGTGCTCTTATATGCCCAAAAAATTTATTTTCATAACAAAAATACATTGATCATTATTAGCCGTTAAGTTTGATTGTTAAATTATGTAGTTTGACTAGTGTCTGTAATGGTTAAACTTAACGGTGGATAACAGTTCATGGTAGAAATACTATAAAATAAAACTTCTTGAGCATATAAGAGTCAGAAAAAATTTTAAGTGCTGGACACTCATTCATAAATACTTCTGAGGTATTTAAAAACCTTATCCTAATAATAATTCATTCTCAGAAAGGCAACTAGATGTTAATAATTCCACAGATATTGTGCTAAAACCTTTCAAAACACCTATATGTTGTAAACACATCATGTTTCATTTTGTGGGAGAGTCAAGAGTTGTTTGCTCTTATTTTGGTACAGTAAAAATATTCATGCGTCAATTGAAATTAATTTTTCTTCTCAAATGATCTTAAGAGATTAATCTTCACTTTATTCCAGTTTTAAGAAAATCCTTTTGTTGTTGATTAGTCATGAGAAGGTGGCTTTTTTGTTTTTTCTCCCATTAAGCTATAACTATTAAAGGTGGCAAACACCCTAAATCCATGAATCTTAGACTATTACTTGAATTTCTCTACTACCCAACTTCTTCACTGATGTCAACGGTAACAAGAACTTCTGCTTGTCCCGTTTTTATGCTGTAGAAAACAGTTGTGGGTGGACCTTGAAAATATTAGCAGAAATATGAGGTTACTATTGGAGATTTCAGCGCCTATCATTCTTTGAATGACAAGGTACGTGCGCAGGTAATGAGTCTTGTAATTATGCAGCCATGAGACATATTGAAGAATGTATTGAAAAAGCTCAACTCATGCAGATACCGTTCAAGGAAAGAATTGATTGGGCATTTGCTGATATATTCAATGTCATGTACTCTATTCTGCGAAGGTAAATCATCTCCAAAGTGATGGCCAAGCACACTTAGGTTCTGTTTGGTACAAACAATTGAAAATGAGAAATAGATACTGAGATTAAAATTGAAAAAAATTATTAAAAAGGTATTTAGTATGAGTAATTGCTTGTTACATGAAATTGGACAAACTCATAGACATAGGATTGGAGAATACCGTACCATCTCCCCCCATGATATTCCCCAATCTCACATATATAGTTTTGTCCAATTTCATGTAACAAACAATCTCTTATGCTAAACGCTCTTTTAAGATATTTTTTAAATCTCAATCTCTACCTCTCATTTTTAATACTTCGTAGTAAATGGTATCTTAGTAAGTTGATTGGCAACAAACCAATGCAGTTTTATGGGGAAGGCAGTGTAGTGATATCACTATAATTGCTCAGGAGGTAATTTGCTCGATAAAGGGGTTTTTTTTTTTTGCCCGGGGGGGAGGGGTGTGGGGTTCACAGCGGCCAAAGTGAACTTGGAAAACCTTTATAGATTGGAATGGAATTTCATCCTAGAAATACTAATAGAAACTCGTGTCAGCCAGAAGCTTTGTATAGTCCTTGTGGTTTGTATTGAGAGTATTAATGTGCACAGCTTGTGGAATGGGGAAAGGGGATCTGATTTCTCCATATATTTTCACTCTGTGTGAAAAAGTTAAGCCATGTGATCGTGGATGAAATTCATAGAACGAAATGGCTTCCCATCACCTAAAGGGGGGGGATCGTCCACCTGTTCTATGAAATTCTTTTGATCTAGAGTAGGGAGTTGCGAATTCTATAGTTGATAGGAAAGTGAAAGAGAATCACTATATAAAGCAAATACGTATTATTTATTCAATCAGAAGCCATCACACTTCTTCAAAACAAAACAACAAGGTAGAAGTACGAAAGAGAATCAGGAAATCGAAGCACTAGTCACGTAGCTTGCAGGCTTCCATTTCGGCAACAGTTATTTTTTTTGCTTAGCGTCTTTGTTTCCCCTTCTTCTTAACATTATTTGATAAAAATTCTTTCAGGCCAATTGTCAAAGCTGATTTTGAAACCATGGAAGCTTTAAGGATGCTCACAACCTGCATTTGTATGTATGCATGAGTCTGATACAGAAGGCAAAAGAAAATTGCAGCGAGCATGCTAATAAATTTGATCACATTCAGGGGAAACAAACCCAAACCATGTAACTTCCTTGTTCTTTGGTTTCAAACAAAATTTGCATCTCCTTTAATTTGTCCGTTTATAGGTTAGAAGATACGTACCTCTCGTACCGCAATGCAGATTGTTCTTTGCTCCAAGTCATGGTAAGGCACCTTGAATTCAGTTAAAGGGGATAAAACATTGTGAGATGATAAAGGTTTCACAGACAAGTCATCGGCAACCATGAACTTGGTTCTACCCTTTGCATATCCATTGCCTGATTTGTCCTCCATTATTGGGGACTTAGGGTCGCATATTCTTATTCTTCTCACACCACGGACACACAAACTAGTATCGGCAGTCGTCAAATAATATGGACCAACAGCATAGTTGTTACAACAACTTAGCCGAGACGGACACTTCAGTTCATCGATAGGTAACATCTAGTTATTAACATTCAAGAATGGGGCTACCGTGAGGTGGGCGAGCACGTTTTTCAACTTTTCTGACTTCAAGTCTCCCGTTGAATCAAAATTGAACAAACTGTTATATAAGTTGTCAACACACACCAATCCAGAGTTTCCTTCTAAAACTCCTTCTACTGCTCCTATTGGGAATGTCAAGAAACTGAGAAGCTGGTCTATGAAATCTTCCTCAACTTGAGCACACAACATCTTGAACTTTGATTTTCTGATCAATACCTTCATCTTCATCGTTCCAGTGTTCTCTCTGCCTGGTCTCGCAGTTATCTTGAATGAGTTTTCAAAATTCACAAGGCTGTGCTCCTTCCTTAACAATGAATCTGTGAGTGCCGTCTCTGAGATTACAAAGCACTTGAGTAGGTCCAAGATCTTCAAAAACATAATAAATCATCAGATGATGAGGGATAAAGGATTTAAGACTCATAGTGATGACATAATCAATGGTTCTAGAAGTTCACCTCTTTTGAGCTAAGAACCACAGTGGATTCCTAGGGTGGATCTTTACTTCGTAGATTCTTTAGCAAACACAATATTGTGCTCAAATCAAATGGGGATACAGATAGATCATCGGAAATAATAAAAGATGCAGTCTCGTTTACACAGCCTTCCCATGTATCCTCTGCATCTTGGACAGGTGCGAAATGAAGCAATTTTAAATTATTAATAATAGAATCAAACATAGTATATGATTTGTTTAACAAGCATAGACCAAAAACATAGAATGCGTTGCAAAAAGATATTATTACCTCTAGTATCATTGCCACTCGCGTTTTTATCGGATCCGCCAACCACAGGACTGCATAAGAGCGATTTGCAAGGGTTCAGAAGGAACGTAAAAACCCGCCCACATATGCATTTCATATTCTTGAAAGTGCTCACCAGAGAAGGTCCTTGAAAAAGACAATGTCCACAAGCATAATACTTGGTTGGCTTAGTGTCATCAATGTTGAGTTTGAGGTTTTGATTATAACGTTCCATTGAGTTCCTTGGCTGAAGCAGCATTTGCTTGCATGTCTCTGATTTCAAATGCTTGGGGTCCAGATTTCCCACGCTTTCATACAGCAAGCTTATGCATCCGAATCGGCAAGCCGTGTTTGAATCCTTGCTTACGAGTCTAGTAATAGTTCCCAGCGGCAGTGTCAAGAAGCTTAAAAGAATATCCACAAAATCCTTCCCTGCTTCAGCATAGAGCACTCTGTTTTGCTCTTTGTCCACAACAACTCTCAATGAAATTAGTTCCGGTATAGCAGTTGAAGCCATGGAAGCAATATTATTAACCCACCAAATCCAGCAAACGTTTCAGAAACTGTATATCGTACATGTATTGGAGTGTGGCTCTCGTTATGGAGGTTATGGTTATGAACAAGGGCCCTTCAATTATTGGAAACTGATGATATGACCAATGCTTTGCGACTCCTCCTTCATTGCTAAGGTAAAAGCCTGCACTCTTTCGGGAGTCAAAAAGTTACTGCCTTCATTGCTAAGTTGAGATTTTTTGTTAAAGCCTTTTCTGCCCATCATCGCCTCTTTAGCTCTTCTCCAGTAATTACAATAGTTGAAGAAAAATAAAATCACATAAAACATAAAGTAAATTATGATATACTACCTCATGTCTTTAATATAAGAGCTAGTTGACTAATTTAAATAGATTAAAAAAATTAGTTAAGTTAGTTATTTATAATAAATAAGTATTGTTTTTCCTAAAATATCTTTACTAATCAAATATATTAGCTACAACTATCATTATTCCAAGGATTATCTTGAAAAAAATGGATAAATATAAGAGATAAAGTAGATTGGGGTCTTATATTTTAGATCAAAATAAAAGTCAAATGAACTCTTATATTAAGGATAGGAGATAGTGTATAACATAAATGTTTTAACATATTTATATTTAATTTTTAAAATATATAATTAAAATAAATACGCATCTTTATTTTTTAAGTTGTGCTTATCAATATTACAAGACATAAAAATCACCCAGTGTTTCTGATAATTTTTTCAGAAATTTATTGATATAGCCATACATTATCTTTTAAAGTGTTTTATTAGTCCTAAAAAATTTTATTTCAAAAATCACCCAGTGTTTTATTTTTCAGAAATTTTACAAGACATAAAAATCACCCAGTGTTTCCAAAAAAATTACCTTACATTTTATTTCAAAAAATAGACCCTAAATTCAAAAGAAAACCTCACTAGAACATATCCTACACGAATGAACGCAACATGTAGTAATATTAAATTCATTAAAGTGTTTTATTAGTCCTGAATCCACTATGTTGCATGAAACGTGAGAAACATCCGCATTATTTACATAACTCATAATATCATTGGTTACATTTTTTTCATATATTGATCTGACTGGACTGGATTGTAACATTAAGAGTTGGGAGAATAGTTATAAAGTTCCAAATAAAAAATATAGGGAGAATTACAATTAGGTCCAATCCAAGGGAATTAAATACAAAAAGGTCTTTTTAAATCATGAAATTATTCTGAAGTCTCAAGGGACTTTTGTGCAATAAATTTTATTTGTTTAATTACCAAATTACCCTTTTTTTTAAGTTTATATTGACAACTAAAAGAGCAATGATTGACAACTTAGGATACAAAGATTGACAACTATCGCGGCTGGTTTGACAACTCATGCGTTACATTTTGTGATATGCTAAAAAAAATATGTTGTCAAACCAGCTGCGATAGTTGTCAATTCTAAGACCTTAAGTTGTCAATCACTACTCTTTTAGTTGTTAATGCAAATTTAAAAAAGAAGAAGAAGAAGAAGAACGGTAATTTGGTAATTAAACAAATAAAATTTATTACAAAAAGGTTTCTTGGGACTTCAGAATAATTTCATGATTTCAAAAGACTTTTTTGCATTTAATTCCCTTAGATGGGACCTAATTGTAATTTTCCCAAAAATATAATTGCTAAGATTTTTTTATTAATAACAAAGTATTCTTCAATGATAAGTTTCAAGATAATAAATAATAATTACTTACTTATTATTAGAACTTATCGGTCCTCAAGATGTCATTATAATTTTTCCTCCAGAGTTATAAATTTTATTATCGGGTTGCCTGGGGCTGCTCTAATTGATAGGCCTTGCCTTGTTTCAATAAACTGTACCATTCATGGGCTTATATTTATAAACCCCATTGGACCATATATATTAAATATTAAAATATGCTGATGTTCTTAGGGGTTAGGAACGCCAACCTTAATAGTTCTTGTCATGCCTTGATCCGGATTAGTCTAAGCCCGTTGTTGTGTCTAAAAGATGGCCTAGCTTAGGATATCGGGTACCAACGCAAAAAAAAAAAAAAAAAAAAGAAATGCTGATGTAAGAATCTTGTTGGTAGGCGATCTGTAAATACCTCTATAAACACTCTATGAGCCTAGAGGCATGCCCTGGCCCTGGTGAGCCCTTGGGACCCGACTCACCTAAACTTTTTTGTACCAAAAAAATTATTGAAAATATATTATGCTTTGTATAAAAAAAATATTATACTGCATATTATAAAGTAAATAATAATTTATTCTCAGAAAGGCATCTAGATGTGAATAATTCTATAAGTATTGTACTGAAACCTTTCAGAACAAGTATATGTTGTGAACAAATCATGTTTCATTTTGTGGAAGAGTGAAGAGCAGTTTACTCTTATTTTGGTATAGTAAAAATGTTCACGTATTAATTGAAATTGATTTTCTTCTCAATTGAACATAAGAAATCAAGCATCGCTTTATTTTAGGGCTGAGCAATGGGCAGGGTGGGCAAGCCCGAAGGTTAGCCCATAGCCCGCCCATTTGTGAATAAACGGGCATGGGCTAACCCATAATCCGATAGTAGCCCATTTTAGCCCGTATTAAATGGGCTACGGGGCAACTTGTTTGGACTGACCGAGTTACAGGGTAACCCATTTATGTTTCTGTTTTTTTTAGCAATTTTTCAGCATAGCTAATTTGTATATGTAACCTTATGAAGCTGTCAAATAAATTTTGCGTACCAAATGGCAAATCAAATATGAAATAACATCACATAATATCAACTATATTTAATCACACAACCTCACTTAGAGTCACAAACAATCAAAGTCTGATAAAATCACAAAAGTAGTCACCAATCATAAAAAGTCTCGTGAACTTTGGAAGTTCCAATTTCCACCTAAAGGATAAAATAAAAGTTTATACAAGCATAAAGGTTTGATAAAAGATGAATAGGAAACAATATCATCAATTGAATGAAGAATAAAAATATTTTTAAAAAAATTAAAACTTAAACGGGCGAGTATGGGCAGCCCAATACCTTACCCATAGCCCATCCCGATTAATGGGCTACCTCGCCTATTTAAGCCTGCCCGTTTATAATATCTTATTTGGGCTAATTGGACGAGCTTAAACGGGTAAAAATTTCATGGGTCACGGGCGGTTAGCAGGTAATGGGTTTCTTGCTCACCCCTACTTTATTTCAGTTCTAAGTAAATCTTTTGTCTTGTTGATTATTAGCGAGAAGGTGGCTTTTTTGTTCTTTCTCCCAATAAGCTATAACCATTAAATGTTAAATTTAAAAAGTTGTAAATTTTTTTAATATTTAGCTAATTTTAATTAATTTTCTTAATCCTTAAAATAAAGTAGTCAATATGATTTAATAGAAAAGACCGGAGAGAGTAATTATGTTTGAAATTAAAAAAGAGAGAAATGGAAAAGTATATGATCTAGCTTGCTTCAACTCCTTATGATCATTAGAAAAGAAAATTAGCCTTCTCATAATAATCACCATATATTTCAATATAATCATTTTTTTATAATTTTATTTTAATATGATCATGTTTGGGTAGCTATAATCAGTCATAGGAGTATTTCCTCTCGCAGACTGCAATAATCATAATTCCTTAAAAATGAAGTCTTCTAATTTGCTTTCAACGTTTTTTTTAGCTTTTTATCTTTTTCTTTCTTTCTTTTCTTCTTTATTTTTTCTTTGACCCTTCTTCGCCGGAGAATTTGCTTATTCTTTTTCTTTTTTTTGGTCAAAGAGAATTTGCTTGTTCAAGTTTTGAAGAAATTAGCTTTTCTGGGTCAGCTTCGTTTGAATAAAATATCATGTGGCCATACTCAAGAAAAGAGTGAACATTACAACATCATCCGGTTGTTTGGAATACTCAAAATACTTTTAAAAAAAAGTATGTTTTTATATTAATTAAGACAAGACTTTTTTTACATATTTACTTCGTATATTGTAAAATTATTTTTAAATTATAATTTGGTTTCTACCTAAATACTGACGTTATTAGTTTTGAAAGGAGGATTGAGATTTCGATTCCTAGCAGGATCTAAATTTTTACATTGCTCAAATATAATTAGAGTAAATGTATCAAACACCTTAAAATATTTTCTTGAAAGCATCCAGCACTTTAAAGTATTTTGTAGTACATCTAGAATCCTGAAGTATTTTTCAGGTGTATCTGGCTGGCACCTTAAAATATTTTTCAAGTGTGTATAACACCTAAAATATTTTTTTTGCCTTGTTGCTGGATGTATCAAAAAATATTTTAGGATACTGGACACACTTAAAAGAATACTTTAGAGAGTTAGATGTACCAAAAAATATTTCACGGTGCTGCGTACTTAAAAAAATAATTTAGGATATTGGATATACTACAAAATATAAAATACTCTAGACTACTGAATGCTTCTTAATCCATTTAAAGTATTTATATTATTTCTTAATATTTTTATTTCACACACAAGAAAGAAGTTCTCTCAAAAAACACTGACTAGTAAAAAGAGAGAGACGAAGAAATGGCTTGCGGAAGAAGCCCAAGCTGCAAATCATTTACTTATTGAAGCTAACTATCTTATCAATTATCAAATGATCTTGATCCCTCTTACATTGTCTTAAAATATACATAAAGAGGACAAAAACTACTTACAAATTATTCATCACTTGTGAGTAACCCGCAGGTTCAAATTTATAGTTGGGTGCGTGCATGCGATCTGTGCAGCCCTTCTTGTGAGAGAAGGAAAAACAGGTGCGCATGTGATTTTTTTTTTTTTAAAAAAACAACACCAACAAAAGAAGAGAATTCAAAAGCATGCCTTAACAAGACATCAATACTGCGTATACCAACCTTGGATCTTGTGTGAGAACCACCCATTATGAAATACTCCAATTATATAACACACGACACATGTTAGTGGTAAAGTCACTTCAAGGACCATAGATAGAAAAGTTTCATCCAAATACAAACTCCAATAAAATC